GTGTAAGGGAGACACAGAAAACGTTCGACAAATGCTGATACAGAGAAGCAGAACCTGCTGAGACAAAGAAATAAAACCGATTTCATGAGCAGAAGACAGAGAGACGTTGTAGCACCTCGAAAAAAAGAACAACAGCACGTCCGCAAAGGCGATCTTTAGGGCGTCAGAGATAGATACAAGCTCTTGAGTTATTTGTTTCCTGCAATTCCCGAATGAAGGCTACTTGCATCGCGCTCCAGTCAGGGAAACTTTGGCCCTGCGACCGGGTATTCTCCTCCATCATATAATCCCAATAGCCTTCTTACATTTATCAAGATTCATTTTTTATTTTTTGCTTCGATGTGATAACATGATTTGGTGACTTTTGTTGCGATCCCTCTTGTCACTGAACAATATCCTCGTCCAGTTAAAAAGAGAAAAGAATTTTCTGAGGAATTCAGTCACCTATCTAATCATTCCCTAGTATTGATATATGTGTAATTACCATCTTGTTCAATCATCTTCGTCTTTATGCGATATATATTACCCATTTCGTTCTTGCTGTATGTGCTACGACTTATCATACATTAAAGGACTCATAATTGCACTGGCCATCGTGCAACAAACGAAACAAACTAATAAATCGAAACGCTACCTTCTCTACGCACGTGTGAGCATCCCTCAAGCATCTTCCCTATCTAGAAGAAATTGTTTCTGCGTTATTCATCAAAGTTAGAGAGGTTTTGAAACAACGCGAGTTTTGTCTTATAGAGCGAGTTTTGGTATCCATTTAAAGAGGTGACTTTAGAGTGTAAACTTGTGATACTAAAGTCGACTCTTGAGCGCAAAGAACCAACCTTGAAAGCGTTCTCGTTCTGAAAAAGTATTATATGTAACAAGGATATTAAAAAATTCTATCTGTGTGCTTTTTCCATCTTCATCTAGATGATCTACTCCTTGAAACTCCTAGAAGTAGACCTTCATCTCTGTATCAAATTTATTCTTTAAAAGAACTTATATATCTACACACCCTATCCTCGGTCTCTTCGACTCCTACTTTGCGACCGCTCTGTTCCCGGTCCTGGCGCTGGCGTGTAGCCCGCGTCACTGCCTGTTTCGTCCGGCTGTAGATAGTTCGAAGCTGTGTACCTTCCTTGGCCAAAACCCCCAAAGCCGTACGCACTACTACCCTCGCCAGGTGCATTTGGTCGCGGTCGTCGCTGTTGCGACGATGGTCGGTCGTAGGCACTGCGCAAGGGCTGAGAGCCGTCTCCTACTCCTGGGACTGGGCTGTAAAGACCGCTGTCGGATCCCGCACCATCTTCGTTGCCTGAACCGAGAGCGATATCGTCATCAGCCGCCCTCAATCCGCGGTTGCGCGCTCTTACCTGCGAGCGGCCTACTCTGCTCTGACTTCGACTAGAAAGCCCATCTTGCGACAAGTGGTCGGCTAGATTTGCGCCAGTCAGACTCCCCTGACCAGGTAGATTCGCGCGTCTTGCTGCTGTGCCTGCGAGACTAGATCCGCGAGCGTGGCCGCTCATACCTGGATCGCTTGCAGCACTGCTCAAGCCACCACCGAAGTGGAATCCACCGCTTACAGAATCCGCAAATGGCGATAACGGTGAGTCATCAAAGCCTTCTGGTTCTGGAGAAAGGGCAGGATTGATGCCGACACTAGCGCCTGGTCTCTGATGGATCTCAGCATAGTTGATACCGCCAGATCCACGTCTATCGACATCTTCGTCCATGGCACCGAAGGAAGCCTGGAGTGGTTTGAGAAGTTGTTTGGTCCATTGTTGTGATTAGATTAGATTCGATTAGATAGGTTCCTGCTTCAGCCCTGCGCTTTGAGCGCCTGAGTCAAACGCGTTTTCTTGCTAACCCAGTATGCAACAAGAATCGTTTTTCTACTCACACAACCCAATGAATGTGCGTCCAAAAAAGGAAAGCTCGTTGTATCAACAAGGAAAAGTTATAGTAATCAAGTTCTTTACCATCGCCTTTTCTCTTTCTCTTTTTGCTTCTGAGTCGTTTTTGACTCTTCGGTAACTGTCATCTGTGTAGTCGTCCATGAAGTTTATTGGTGTCTGCAGATCGTGGAACCTATCCTGGATATCCTTGTTAAAGGCATCCGCCGCGTCCTCTGTCGGTGGGCGTGGTTTCTCATAGGTCGGCTTGGCCTCTTGCAAGCAGTTGGTGTCTACTAGGATATCAAATTCATTGGTTCCGATGTTGGGCAGTTGACCGAGAATCAAGTTCTCAGAAACACCGCGGCAGTGGTCGACCTGTGAAAGGACATTGGGAATGCGAAATTTAGATAATGGACCAATTTTTTTTTGGAAAGAAAGAGAGAGAAATGAATTACAAAATGAGGAATAAGTACACAGTTCGAAGTTACTTCAAGTCAGATAATCGAAAATCTCATAGTACCAGAAAAGAAAGATAATCTTCCTATCAAGTTACCTGTCCAAACATTGCCGCTTCCATCAACATCTCCACCGTCTCCTCAAAGGAACATTTCATCAAGGGTCCATGGTCTGCTTTGTTAACTCCGTGTCGACTGATAGCCATCAAGTGGCCGCGATTAGACATGGTATCACACAAAACTGCAAGATGTCGATAATTGACGTAAGCGCCATCGAACGA